TAGAGGGTAGCAGAAAAAACTGAGCCAATACTGGCCTTCCTGGGTGAGATCCATTTTTTGAATTTTTTGGCGCGGAGCTATCCAGGAGGGGGTTCCCTTGGCTATAACGGAAGCAACCCAAGCACGCTCGGATTCCTTATTGGAAAGTTTGGCATCATATTCAGCTGTGCCTGACGACTAATCCTCAAAATATCTATAGTTGATCGACGCGACATCACAAAGTAATTGGACCCTCAAACTTGGACAGACTGCAAGATTACACGGTTCTGCTTTTGCTCAGCATTCCTAGAGGTAGCATAAGCAGCATAGAATTTCCTCACGAGCCTCTTGTTATATTCCCCCGGGACTTGAGTGAAGAACTCCTATTGCCTCCTTTTTTATATTTTCAAGAACACGAGGGTAATGCTCTTTTAAACCATTCTGCCCTAGCTGCTTCTCTTCCATGATTTTTCTCTTGGCTAAGCCCTTTTTGTATAGGTTCCAAGAGCTGGGAACCCCAAACCGGATATCTTCACCACTTTTCCGCCTTGTTTCAGCATGGATATCAACAAATGGCATAAGATCAGCATGTGCCTCCTCCTCTTCAGACATGGAGGAGTGCACAAATGTGCTTTTGGCTATTTCAAGCCTTGGGCATTTCGATTGTTGTGCTTGTTGACTCAGGGCAACAACCCGTTTGTTTCCTCGAGCGGGAGGTGATCGTGATGCGAGAGACTTCTTTGGTGCCATTATTGTCAATGAATCAATGGGTGAGTGGTTGACATAACATTGGAAACAAATTGAGAGAATTTAAAAGAAGCAAGAAGCATCTGCAATGAGTTATGCAATCGCATAACAATTTTGCGAGCCGCAAACCCACCGCAAAACTACACCACTCAGAAGCCAAAGCAGAAATGCGATCGCGAAAGGGGCCGCAGAACAAGTTATGCGACCGCATAGTGGTCACATTTTTGCTCACCAGATGTGGAGAATTAGCTGCCTTAGTCGGTGGCACTTTTGCGGTTCGCGAAATGAGTCTGCGATCGCGAACCCAACCATAGAAGTTCTTCTCTATTGGCTACCTAGGGCACCAAATGCGACGATTATGCGGACCATAAAAATTGTCATTCTTACTCAAAATGGAGACCCACTCAATTTACAGACCTTCCAACACCCAAATTCGGACATTGAACACCTATGACATGGAAAAAGTTTCCCACCTTGTTCTTTACTCCTATTATGCAGATTAAATTTTTAAAACCCAGTTTACCCCCAGTATCAATTTCCCCCCAAACAATGATTCTTACTCCAAGTATGCACACATTGATACCCACATCAAGGGATTGAGAATACGGGGAAAAGGAGATGCAAACACATATTTTTCTTCAACTCAATTAAGTAAGAGAGGGAGGAATATTTACATACCCGATATCTGAGCAGTTGAAGGATTTGTTCTGAGATACGAACCAGGTGACCTCTTTCTGTGCAATTCCGTTTTTATTTTTTTGATTTTTCGTAGTTAAGACGATGTTTTTGGTCTTTTCTTGTTCTTCTTTGTTTTTTTTGTTTCATTGATCTCGTTTGTGTTGTGCAGTGCTTGTGTGCGAGTGATATGGAGGGTGTGCGATTGAAATACGGAGGGGTTTAGGGTTTAATACCTGGGAGTTATGCGGTGGAAAAGTGGATCGCATAACATATTATGCAGTCGCATATGTGTTATGCGACGAGTTAGTGATAGCTTGGCTAAGATCCACTTCGCGACGCATTCTGCGGTCGCATAATTGTTGTGCGGGCCGCAAAAATAGAAATTCCATCGCATTTTGGAGGACCAAAATTGCATTTTCTTCTGAGTGTGTATGCGACTACTATGCGCTCCGCAAAACCATTATGCGACCGCATAGTTGCCGCAGACCACATGTCCTTCTGTCCTTTATTCTTCTCAGTCCTTGCACCCTGTTTCATTGTATTTGAGCTACATGCATTCTAACACACATGTCAAACTGCTCAACACTACTAATAAACCTACAGAAATTAAAATCTAACAAAAGGATGTTACCACACATGGGTTGCCTCCCAAGAAGCGCTTGATTTAACGTTACGACACGACAATGTTGACCCCATTTGGGCTAATCAGTGCTAGGGACTGGTGTAGGACTATCATGGAGTGCGAATTGTTCTACCAAGTGCCTTTTTCCTGTGGTACCGAGGTAATTCTTGACCCGCTGGATATTTACTTTGAAAGTTCGAGTCCCATCCTCCGACTCCAATTCAATATCGCCATAGGGGGGCACATTCGCAACTTTGAATGGGCTAGACCATTTGGATTTGAGTTTGCCCAGAAATAACTTGAGTCTTGAGTTGAAGAGTAAGACCAAGTCAGCGGATTTGAATTCCCGCTTCAAGATCTTCTTGTCATGAACAAACATCATTCTCTCCTTATACATGGTTGCACTCTCATAGGCGTGGAGACGGAATTCTTCCATCTCATTGAGTTATGTCATTCTTAGGTTAGTAGCTTCGGCCCAATCAAGATTCAACTTTTTCAATTCCCACATGGCTTTGTGTTCAAGCTCCACTGGCAAGTGATACTCCTTTTAAAAAACCAACTGGTATGGTGAGTTGCCAATGGGAGTTTTAAATGCTGTGTGATATGCCCACAATGCATCATATAGCTTCCTTGACCATTCAGTCCTGTTTGCATTAATAGTTTTTGCTAGGATATTTATGATCTCCCTATTGGAAACTTCAACCTGGCCACTCGACTGAGAATGATAAGGGGTGGCCACCTTGTGCTTGACTCCATATTTTTCGAGCAGCCCAGTGAAGGCCTTGTTGCAAAAGTGAGAACCACAATCACTAAGGATGGCCCTGCGGGCACCAAACCGCGTAAATATGTTCTTCTTCAAGAAAACGGTCACACTCTTTGCCTCATTGTTGGGCAAGGCGATTGCTTCGAGTCATTTGGAGACATATTCCACAGCTACCAAGATATATTTCATGCCATAAGAGCTCACGAAGGGACCCATGAAGTCTATCCCACACACATCAAAGATCTCGACCTCCATTACAAAGTTCATAGGCATCTCATGTCTTCTAGAAATTGACCCTTGTCTTTGACATTGATCACATGCCTTGACCATTTGATTTGCGTCTTGGTAGATCGATGGCCAATAGTAGCCACATTCAAGTACTTTTCCTGCAGTACGGTTTCCACCATGATGGCCCCCAATCGGGGAGTCATGACATGCCTTGAGAATCTGCATTACCTTATCTTCCGGAACACAACGCCGAATGATGTTGTCGGCACAAATCTGGAACAAGAAGGGTTCCTCCAAATATTATTGCCTACATTCCCGCAAGAACTTTTTATTTTGATAAGCTTTCAATCCGTCGGGAATAAGGTCACTAACCAAGAAGTTAGCGATGTCGGCATACCAAGGGGCGAAGGTGCTAGACAATGCCAATATGTGCTCATCTGGAAAGGCATCATTAATTTCAAGATCTTCTTTTGGTCTCCCTGCCTCTTCAAGCCTAGATAGGTGATCCGCAACTTGATTCTCTATCCTTTTTCGATCCTTGACTTCAAAGTCAAACTCTTGCAAAAAAAGGACCCACCTAATCAATCTTGGTTTAGCATCCTTCTTCGCCATAAGATAGCGGAGAGCAGCATGATCGGTGTAAACTGTCACTTTGGACCCCAACAAATAGGCCCGAAATTTTTCAAAAGCATAGACAATGGAAAGTAGTTCTTGCTCAGTCACAGTTTAAGTCATTTGTGCACCATTGAGTGTCTTGCTTGCATAGTAGACAGGATGAAGGATATTGTTATGCTGTTGACCGAGCACCACCCCAATACTACACCACTGGCATCACATATGAGTTCAAATGGAAGGGACCAATCAGAGGTGACAATAATAGGTGCCGTGGTGATCTTTGCTTTCAATTCCTCAAAAGCTTTGAGACACTTCTCATCAAATTCAAACTTTGCATCTTTTTCAAGGAGCTTGCACATGGGATTTGCAATTTGTGAAAAGTCCTTGATAAAACGCTTATAAAAACCGGCATGCCCCAAAATGCTTCGGACACCTTTTACTGAAGAGGGATGAGGAATCTTGGAAATGATTTTGATCTTTGCCCGATCAACCTCTATGCCTTACTTTGAAATTTTGTGGCCCAGAACAATGCCCTCGTCCACTAAGAAGTGGCAATTTTCCCAGTTTAGCACAAGGTTGGTTTCTTCACATCTTTTGAGCACTTGTCTAAGGTTGTCATGGTAGTGCTCAAAAGAATCACCAACTACAGAGAAATCATCCATAAACACCTCTAGGAAATCTTACACCATGTCCGAGAAGATTGACATCATGCACCGTTGAAAGGTAGCCGGGCCATTGCATAGCCCAAATGGCATGCGGCTAAAGGCAAAGGTCCCATACGGGCATGTGAAAGTTGTCTTCTCTTGATCTTCTATTGCGTTGTTGATTTGGTTATAGCCAGAATACCCATCCAAGAAGCAATATAATGATCTTACCGCTAGCCGATCAAGCATTTGATCAATAAAAGGCATATGAAATGGTCCTTGCAAATAGCAATGTTTAGCTTCCGATAGTCCATGAAAACTCTCCATCCAGTCACTGTCCTCATTGGGATGAGCTCATTTGTGTCATTTTGAATCACTGTCATACCTCCTTTCTTTGGCACACATTGCACCGGACTCACCCAAGAACTATCGGCAATGAGGTTAACTACTCCGGCATCTAACCATTTTATGATTTCTTTCTTCACCACCTCCTGCATGGAAGGGTTTAACCTTCTTTGATGCTCTACGCTAGGTTTGCTCTCTTGCTCCAATTATATCTCTTTCTCACAAATGCCAGCGGGAATCCCTCGTATGTCCGCTATTGTCCACCCAATGGCCTGTCGGTGCTCTCTCAGGGTTTTCAACAACTGTTTAACCTACACATCATTCAACAAAGAAGAAACGATTATAGGTAGAGTTTCATTGGAGCCAAGAAATTCATACCTTAAGTGCAGTGTGGTGGAAGTGGCTTGAGCTCAAGTTGTGGCGGCTCGATAATTGAAGGCTTAGCGGGAGGAGTGACTCTATTATCTAAGTCAAGAGAAAGTTTCTTTGGTGCATAAGTGTAGAACCCAAGTCCTTCTAATGAATTTACCGATTGCATGTACCCTTCCATATCTTTACCATCAAAATTTACCAAAATAGCCGCCAACGCCTCACCAAGGCATTTTTCATCCATATTCATCTTGATTTCATCTTCTACCTCATTAACAACATCAATGATTGAGATGCTTTCATATGCATGTGGAAATTTCATACTCTTACTTACTTGAAAGGTAACCTCTTCGTCATTAACTCGGAACTTGATCTCATTTCGTTCCGAATCCATGAGTTCTCTTCTGGTAGCAAGGAATGGTCTCCCCAAGATGATATGAATTTCTTTATCAACAGCACAATCAAAGATAACAAAGTCGACAAGGAGGAGGAATGTCCCCACTTTCATAAGAACATCATCAACAATTCCCACCGGTCTTTTTATTGAACGGTCGACCATTTGAAACCTCATATTTCTAGGCCTCGGCATACCTAACCCTGATTTTATTTTAAATAGCAAGAGGCATTAAGTTGATGCTAGCCCTATTATCACAAAGAGCTTGTGCAAAATCGCGCAACCCGATAGTGTATGGAATGGTAAAAGCTCCCGGGTCTTCTTTCTTTTGAACGGTGGTTGTTGCAATGATGGAGCTAACCCGGTAAGTCACATTCACCATTTCATTTTTTATGGTTTTATTCTTGGTGATTAAGTCCTTCAAGTACTTAGCAAAACCCGGCATCTCTTGAAATACTTCCACAAATGGGACGTTCACCGATAATTGGTTGAGAATGTCATAGAATTTCTCGAGTTTTCTATCATTAACCCTCCTAGAAATTCTTTGAGGGAAAGAAGGGGGAGGTCTAGGAATTGGTGCTAGAGATTTTGGTGTCTCCTTTACCTTTTCCTTAACCTCTTCACGGATCACTTCTTGAATTTTCACCTCCTTTGGGAGTCTTTCAGCTTCAACAACAATTGGCACCTCAACTTGTGCCTCAACCTCTTGTTCCAGAGCTTCCACTTCGACCACTTGTTCATTCTCTCCTTGAAGTATTCTCCCACTTTGAGTTGTGATTACCATACAATGAGAAGTCGGACCATTCCCATTACCTTTTGGATTTGCTATGGTGTCACTTGGGAGTGTGCCCTTTTGCTTCGGATTTTGCTCTCTTGATAGATCTCTCATTTGCATTTCTAACTTTTGTATGGATGCGATGTGAGAACCCACAAGCTTAGTCGTGTTCTTCATTAAAGTGTCGGATCTTTCTTGATTTTGCAACACTCTTTCAAGCATGTTCTCCAATTTGGACTCACTTGAAGAACTTTCCTTCCAATGCGCAGAGTTAGAGTGTTGCCCCTTTGGTGGAACATAGGGGTTTGAACTACGATTTGAATAGTTGTTGTTGTTGTTGTTGTTGTTGTTACTCTAATTACCTTGATTTGAACTACCTTGATCATTTCACCACTGTTGACGGCCTTGACCTTGCAGGTTAGACCTCCATTGATTTTGTTGCCCACGACCTTGGTAGGGTTGTCTTTGATAACCTCCTAAAGCGTTGTTGACATAATTTTCTTCCTCGTAATCCTCGTTTGACAAGGGTTGCACTTCTTCCACAACATTCACCTTTTTTGTTTGGCTTTCAGTAAACATATTGTTCAATACATTGATGTTGGTAGCAAGCCCAACAATTACTTGATCTCTTTCTTTGTTCTCCTTAATCATGTTGGTCAAGGAAGGAGTACCATATTCAATTCCACCCGTAGTGTCTTCCGAGTGCCAAGCTTGGTTATGTTTTGCCATCTTGTCAAGAATTTGTGTGACCCTTGAAAATGTTTTACACATAAAGGATCTATTAGCTGTATTTTTGGCTATGGATTGATTCAAAGGATCCAAGCCCATGTAAAACTTCTCCAACAAGATGTTGTCCGGGAAACCATGATTCGGCAAACTTACTAAATATAACTTGAATCGATCCCATGCCTCATGTAGATGTTTTCTCGGTAGTTGCTTAAAGAAGAAAATTTTATCCCGAAGCTCTGACTTCTTGCTTTGCGGGAACCATTTCGCTAGGAAAGCTCGAACGAGTTCGGGCCAAGTATGAATGGAATTAGGTGGTAGATTTTGGATCCATTTCCTTGCCTCTCCGGCTAGTGAATACTTGAACACCCTCAACCTTAGGGCATAATCTGAGACGTGATTCTGCTTGTGCATCACACATACACCCAAGAAGTTTCTAAGATGTTGTGTCAGATCATCATCAGTGGAATTTTTGAAAAACCCCTGTGCTTTGAGCATTAGGATTAGACCGTATTCTACCTTGAAGGTGGCAACATCAACTGTTGGAGGGACAATGGAATTTGTATCCTCAATATACTCAAATTGTAATTTCACACTAAATAGTAATTTCAAAACCGTATTCCCCTCCTTCAGCGCCAAAATTTGATACGCTCAAATCACACCTAAATAGATAGTGCAAGGCGATCAATGTCAAATATAATAACCCAACTAGGTTGGGGTAGAATCCCACATGGAATAGGTGTGAAAAAGTTAATTGAAAAGTGTGAAACCTGACTTAAATCGTAATTCTATTCCATTATCTTAAAAAAGAGTGTTGTGATTATAAGTAATAAGGAAAACTATTGTAGTGTATTCAATGCCTTCATTGTAGCTTCCTTTTCATACAAGATTCCCAACAAAAACCTTCGTAAATCTATTTATAATGGGCCAAAAATTGGGGTCAAAGTTAGACAAAAATGCCCCTGCAGAACACATCTACGACCGTAGAATGTGTCGCAGATCATGTATGCGGTCCACAAAATTACAAGGTCACCGCATAATTGCATGTCCAGTTGCCCAGTTCCCCGTCGCAGATCCATTATGCGGTCTGCATATTGCTTATGCGACCGCAGATTGCGTCGCAAAAAGGGCTCTTGCAGAATCTCATATGCACTTATACGGTCATTGTGCGATCCGCAGAAGTGTTATGCGACTGCATATTGGACCGCATATTTATCTCTTCAAGAGCTGAACCACCTGTTTCAGTCTGTGGTTGGTTTGCGGCTCGCACAACACTTCTGCGGTCGCAGACCTGCTGCATTTCTGTCCTTTTGTGGGTTTTAGTTTTCTTTTCCGTGTTCTTGGTTCTTCAAGTCTGGTAGAGTTGAAAACACCAAAACTTTATAAGAAATAACTAAAAATGCTTTAAAAGACGAGTTAAAGCTCATGTAATTAGTATCAAAAGTGCCAAAATTCTACGGCACATCAACAATGCTTAGTCTCATGCAAGGAAAGGCAATATTTAGCCTAATGCAAGAAGAGGAGACAATGCTTAGTATCTTGAAAGGAAAGGCAATGTTTAGCTTAATGTAAGAAGTGGGGACAATGCTTAGTCTTATGGAGACATAGCTTAGTCTCATGCAATTAGGGAGGCAATGCTTAGCCTCATACAAGAAGAAGAGACAATGCTTAGTCTCATGCAGGGAAAGGCATTGCTTAGACCTATGCAATTGGGGAGGCAATGCTTAGACTCATGCAAGAAGAAGAGACAATGCTTAGTCTCATGCGAAGAAAGGCAATTCTTGGCCTTATGCAAGAGAACGATGAGTGACGGTGAGAAAGTAAAGTATTTCTTAGCTGGAGGTGTTTGCGCTAGGTAATTTGTCGTCATGAAGGTAGTGACTTGATGTATCTGCGGATAATGTTGTTTTATTGTGCCTGCATCCAAAGAAAAATCATGAGTTATGTGGGGGAAGGTTGGTTCGTGGTTTTGTCTTCTTGCTCGACCGCTGCTCCTATTTTTGGATCCTGTTTGAGTTACCCTGGACAACATCTGGCTGTCATAGAAACAAAATTTTCGAAAAACATTTTTGCATTTGATAAATTATTTGCAAAAAATATAGTTGTTTGAAATGTATTGCAGTATGTGATATCAAATAATATAGATGAACTGGTGACTGTGACACATTTAGAGACAATGCCACCACATTTAGGGTCCTCCTCAAAATTCTACCCCAGTTTAAATGCAACCCTTTGACGGTTCTGCGCATGACGAAGTTGGCTGGACTTGCTTTAGAATTTTGAGGGCCTTCCTCAAAATTCTGCCCTAGTTTCCGATCATGGTGAAAATGAGGATTTTATTAAGATGTGACCGAACCCACAGGTCTGCCTACGTATCCCCTCTTAAACGGGAATCAAGTCAAGCGTAGTTCAGTTACATCAAATGCAAAAATGTAAACAATCATAAACATAGTATCTCTTGACTGCGTCTGAGTTGATAGGTTTTAGCCAAATCTCTCCGTCCATTTCTGCGAGTATAAGTTCTCCTTCTGTTAGTACTCGATGAACCATGTAGGGACCTTAACTTCCCCTTGGCTTCATCCTGATGTGGGAAGATACGCTTTAGCACCAATTGCCCCAGTGAGAATTGCCTTGGTCTGACCTTTTTGTTGAAAGCTCTTGCCATTTTGTTCTGGTAGAGTTAACCATGACCTACTTCATTCATTCTCTTTCCATCAATTAGAGCTAGTGGCTCGTATCGGCTTTGTACCCATTCTCCATCGCTGAGCTCAGCTTCTTGTATAATTCTTAAAGAAGGGATCTCTACTTCGGCAGGAATAACCGCTTCAGTACCATAAACCAATAAGTAGGGAGTTGCCCCAGTTGATGTGCGAACCGTGGTAAGATACCCAAGCAGAGCAAATGGCAGCTTCTCGTGCCATTGTTTGTAATTATCTTCCATTTTCCTCAGTATCTTCTTGATGTTCTTGTTGGCGACTTCTACAGCTCCATTCATTTGCGGTCTGTATGCTGTGGAGTTCTTATGCTTGATCTTGACCGTTTCACACTTGGCTTTCATCAAATCGCTATTTAAATTGGCCGAATCACTATCCTCATGTTGCGTTGTCTTATTACATGTCACAGTCGTAGGTTCATCGGGATATGTAATAATAATGCTAAAAAGAAAAATGTAAAAATAATAATAAATACGAAAAGCAGTAATGCGTTAAAAAAAACTTAAAAACGTCAACAAGTACGGCTTGATGGCTCGAGCAATTATTTCAAAACAGAATACTGAAAAATGTCTCAAATGCTCAAAACTATTTTAAAAAGTAATTCATGCTAATTTGCCAGGCTACCCAGGAACTCGACGGGCCCTCGATGGTGCAACAGTCCAGTTCTTGAGAATAACTCTTTTCTCCACAGTCTGAATACTAAGGTACTCCTCCTCCTCCTCATCCTCCTCCTCAACTATCGCACTGCAATCCATGCCTTCATCATCCAAAAATAGCTTCCTCATGTCGGCTAAGACTTCATCTTCCGTAGACCCCCACATCACGTCAGCTTGATGAAATGTCTGGTGCAAATATGGTACTGGTTGTTCCAGCGGATAATAAGGACCACGCCATGGCGGTGACCAATCCTCGTACTCTTTCCAAGTGTATTCATACCCAAGCCCGAAAGTTGTACCATGATGCCTTAGCTGGACCGGTTTGATGATGCCTTAGAGATTCTTGCCGAGACCCTTGCCAGGCTCATACCCTGTCCATAGCAATATGCTTTCTATCTTGTTGCTCCACCATTTTTCTTTTTCAATTGCATTGACGCTCTAAATGCGATGGTATGTTTCTCCACCCAACTTCCTTATGTTCTCAATGACTGGAACAGTCTGATTGGTATAGATGGGATTACTATTGTCTCTATGGATGATCACTTTCTGATGATTCCATTCAAACTTCACAGCCTGATGTAGAGTAGAAGATGCGGCTCCTGCGGCATGTATCCACGGTCGCCCCAACCATAGATTGTAGGTAGCAGATATATCCAGCACTTGAAACTCGACCAGGTTGGGCCCATTTGTAGGCTGAGGTTGACCTCTCCAATTGTGTCCCTTTGGCATCTATCAAATTCCTTCACATTTATACTTCCTGCTCGTATCTCGTGCAAGCCTTTACCCAGCCTCTTGAGAGTAGTTAATGGACATATGTTGAGAGTCGAGCCCCCAACTATCAGGACTCTAGTGATGAATTTGTCCTCAAATTGCACGATGATATGTAGTGCCCTGTTGTGACTTAGTCTTTCCGGTGGTAGCTCGTTTTCATAAAAAGTGATTTTGTGGCTTTCCAATACCTGCCCCACCATATTAGCCATTTCCCAACTGGTGATGTTGGTGGGTACACATGCTTTACTTAGCA